ATCATGTCATCCCTAGTCCTTCTTTTCATTAAACTAGACATAACCAGTTCCAGCAACTATTCTTTATATGTTTTATCCTCCAGTCCCCTAGTCATCTTTGTTGCTCTTCTCTGCAATTTTTCTAGAATCTCAACATCTTTTTTACATCGTGGTGACCAAAACTGGATGCAGTATTTCAAGTGTGGTCTTACCAAGGCATTATAAAGTAGTATTAACACTATGTGATCTTGATTCTATTCCTTTGTTAATGCAGCCTAGAACTGTGTTGGCTTTTTTTGGCAACTGCTCATATTTAAGTGATTATCCACTAGGACTATGTCCACTATGAGATCTCATTGTGGCATTACTAGAGAAAAATCCAACTGACGTTTGAAAACAAGATACACTTCTTAAAAGTGAAGATTTTACTTTCAAACAATAAAAAAAGAAAATGGATTAAAAGTCTTCTCTTTATATCATTGTACATTTTTAACTCACTTTGAGAAATCCCTAGTTTGGTTATAGGATCTTAGTGGCCCCTAAAGCACAGAAGCCTGAATAGATAGCATTCAGCTTTTGTCCAAAATAATCTTCCCATATAATTCTATTTTAAAAATGTACTTGTATCATTCCACAAAGTCTCATTAGGAAGTTGGATTTAGCCATTAGATAATTTCTGATTTACTTGGGTAAACCCAGCTATCATAATTAAACATTGTTCTTGATTGATGAAAGCAACAGTCTCCTCAAGAACATGGCTTTCATCAATAATTCTGTAAAACATTTGCATTTTCCTCAAGTACAAGATAAGGTGATTATATAGCCATCTTTGGATTTCTGAATTTACAGTGAGTTTGTTAAATTCTGTGCTGTTGGCTTTTGATTATGAAAATTATGAAAAGATCAAAAGCGCTAACCATTCCAATTTCTATGTAAGTTAACTGCCTTCATTAAAATCAGTGTTAGGAAAAGAAGCTTTAAAAGAGATCAGCATGTGGTATGCTCCAGAGAATAACCAAGCTCCATTGAAACTAAGGATATTCGCGTTTAGTACAGTAGATTCAACATTTCAGTACTGAAATAAAATCATATTCTTGGGATTTTAGCACAGTTTAATTTTAGACATTTTTTTTCCACTTCATCATTGAAATGCAGTTATAATGAAAGTGCCACAAGATGGCAGTCTGTAACACTTCGATAAAATAGATCACATAAACTTCAATATCATTCCCCAACCTGGTGTCCTCTAGATGTATTAGGATTAAAAGTCTCCAAATTCCCAGGCAGGTGGGAAAAGGATGTACTTATTTATTTTTCACATTTATATGGCTGCCTATGTTGCAAAAGTGATTCTGGGTAGCACTCAATAAAAGCAATGCATATATGAAAACAATCATTATAAAAAAGTAAAAAGACATCCTTAAAATATAAAGAAACTGAAAAAATATAAATATATTATATATAATATAAATAAAAATATATAAATATAAAAATACAAATATACTATATGTCTGCCAATTCAGGAGCTTGGCAATTGGCATGTATTTATGATTGTTGCACCATCCTATATGCAACCATTCCAGAAGCTTCTGATTACCAAAATCAATAGGGGAAGCCATATTCACTTAATGACCACAGCAAAAAGGTCACAAAATCAGGCATGATTCATAGACATCATTTAGTAATGAAGTTCCAGTCCCAATTGTATCATAGTCAAGGACCACCTGTACACATCACAGTCATTCTGCAGTATTTCTTTTTAACTAGATATATCAGCAAAACTATGTTCAGAAATTACTTCCTTATTCTAAATTGCTGAAAGCAATACTATTACAACATCTCAAATGCAAGACTCACATATCAAAGCAGGCATACTTTATTAGGACATAGAGACCCAGGGAAGTCAAGCCCAGGTTGCAGCTCCTTGATCTTGGAGAAAAATGGTGTAATTAAAGAGAATATTTGTGACATATTATTTCTTTGATTTCTATTGTACTAGTCTTCTCATTCTTGGTGGCTATGTATTTTATTTTTCATATTATTGTAATATTTTTTTTTATTTTTAATGTTGTCCACCACCCACCCATCTGTTGAGATGGGTGGTCACACAAAATGAATGAATAAATAAATAAAATCTTGTAAGATTTGCTAGAGTCAATCAGAATCAGCATTGGAACAAAAAAGCAGAACTGAACCAAGTAGCTAAGTCAGCACTCCTCTAAGAAAAAATACACAATTGAACTTACATTTATGGGGAGGATTTACAGGTCTAGAATTTATAAGAATAAATATTTAGTTTGCAAATTTAAATTTTAGTGAAGTACCCAGATATTTTTTATACACTGTCAGTGACAAGGTAGAAGCTGAAAAAGTTTCAACAAGGCAACATTATTTTTTTTTTAAACTACATTAAGTAACAAGATAAAAGTAAATAGATGCAACTAGGCCATGAAAAAGGCCACAAAAATAATTGTTGCTTTTTAAAATTGAATTACTGCTCCAGCAGTATGTTGCGACACATCATGTGATGCGTGAGTTTGACACCCGTGGCTTAGGTGGAATATTCTCAGTGACATCCTGGTTTCATGTTCCTTGCCTTTTCTTGGGGCTGATTGTGATTCTGGAAGTTTCATTAAAAAGTACAGAACTAGTCCTCCATCTATTTCATCAACAGACATGCAGAGGTATCTTGTTATCTGTGTTCATTTCTCTAGTGTTCTCACAGTATTTCAGTTTACCAGTTTTGTATTCAACACATAGGAGAGCAAACATGGTAAGACTGCAAATTTCAGATAACTCTAAGATAGATGCAACTCAGGATTCTTGCAATACCCATTTGGGTAAGATAGCTTACTATTATTATATTACTTTAGAATGGACCTATTTTTCTATCAACAGCAACAGAAAAATAAGAAAAAGAAAAATATACTCTATGAGGAGAGTCATTCTTTCCTGCATCCAAGAATGAATTTCAATAGTTGACTTATTTTCTTTATCATAATAAATTGTAAACTATATTTGGCAATTTTAAGGATTCTGATTTATTGCATGTCATTATTTTGGATGGAAAGTCATAAGCAACGTAGTACTTTTCCTCTGTACAAAGCCAGTATTCATGAAAATAGTTCTTAGATTATTTATTTATTTATTTTCCACATTTATTATTTTTATACTGACATGCCTGAATTTTCTAGCTTAGGTTCTTTAATATTATATAATAAAATTTTTTCTACACCTATAGAATAAAATATGTCATCTGTTCTAGTCCCATTTTAAAGGAGATTGAGGAACAAGTATTAAAAATATTTGACATACTTCTTTTTGGCAAAATAAAAGCTTGTTCTTTTAGAGAAGTAGACATTCCCTATTGTTTGGGTTATGGTTTATTCAAGCAAATCAAAGAATATAGACTGACATGAGCAATGACGCCTGTAGAATTTGTCCATTGATATGAATAAGGACAAGGACAGAGCTTGTCTCCAGTAGGGAACATGCCGTATTCAAGCTACTATAGCTAAACAGCAGCTCCTGCCTCCCCCATTTTCCTCTTTAAAAAAGCACAGTTAATAATCCATGGGATAAATACATCTGACACATTGCCAGCATTAATATCATGGTTAATTCACTGTGCTGTTGAAATAATATGTCACATACATAGAAATTGTCTGGCAAACAGAAGAAGAATTGAAGATTCCATGGTGCCATTAGTTAAAACAGCCTCCTAATTTTACACCCTGGATGATGTGGGCCACATGGTCCAATATTCAATACAAGCATTAATATGGGGTGGGGGAGAGAGGAGGGTTTTTTATGTTTAAGGCATTTGAAGCTTATCAATTGTGAGAAGACCAAGCTAGCATTTCCAGTAGAATTACTCAATTAAGTCACAGATCTCTTTTATTTGGATAGTTATAGCAGTTGAGAAATATTACCAGCAATTAGATTTGGTAGCATGCTGTGTGGTCCCATCTAGTTAAACCAACAACAAAAGAGATTGGTCTGAAAACAAGATTATTTATTTTGAAAAATGGCATAGAATAGATATGTTGACCACCAGAAACCACTATGTCAGCAGTTTCATCCTATTTGGGATTTGTCAGGCTTGGATAGCAAGATGTTATTCTTTGGAATCCAAATTCTTTACCAAGAATTGAATACAAGGATCTTCACCTTAGATGACTCTATATACAGTGCTTTAGTTTTAAGAGTTGGCTGGGTCTTGGCACTCAAATGTTGCAGAGATATATTAATTCTATCAGAATAGTATTCAGTCCACCGTCTCTTAAGCTCTGAGAGCAGAGAAGGGATGTTGCATTATGTCATGACCTGTGTATTATTAGCCATGTACAATCCTATACACTTTGGTTTGAGAGCTTAAGGTAAGGTAGACAGTATGTACCATTCTAGTATAACAGATAAAGGAGTCCCTGCGGATTTTACTCCACTGGACTATTGGGGGCAATGCTCTCTCCATTTCAAGGCCATTGAACCAGCGCTGTCTGAAGACATTTCTGCAGTCATGTGGCCAGCATGATGTCACAGAGCGTTGTTACCCTCTCACCAAAGTGGTACCTCTTTATCTATTCACATTTGCATGCTTTCAAACTGCTAGGATGGCAGGAGCTGGAGTGAGGAATAATAGATACTGCTATTATAATTTCTTTGCAGGAAAGGAAGTGAACTGTAAACTTTAAGTGTTTTGGTGTATTATCAGTTCAATTCAATGCTCGGTGCAAGAATTCAGAAAAAGGTTCTCCATTTAAAGGCACAAACAGTACTGGGAGAGAATGGAACAAAAACTATCAATTAGTTTTTTTATTGTTTCCCAGAATTCCTTTTTCTTGCCTAAAAGGTGCCTAGACCTTCTGTTCTTCTGTCTCTAAATTTTCTAAATTCAAGCGTTTTAGTGTTTTGCTTGGGTCACCACGCAAACACATCTTAGGGTTTCCTTTCCTTTTTTTGCAGAATCAACATATCAGACTTGTTTCCAATCATACTTTAAAAAATAAATAACAGACATGTTTTATTTACACTCAACTTTATTTACATATATCATTAAATATGAACAATACAGAGAAAGATGTAATGTAAGCCAGAGCAAAGGAAACAAAAAAAAAACCCCTCTCCAAACAAAAACAAAACACTATTGGTGGTTCTTACTCTTAAATCATAGTCTAGAAATTCAGAAGTCTAATTTAGTGTTAACAGTATACAATTAGTTCTGCTAGAAGAAAAATACTTTTAAATGTATTTTGTTTGGTTAACTGCAGCACCCAAGAGAATTAATAATGGACTATTTTAAAAAGTGACAGTTTTTTTAACCTGCAAAAAAATGTGTGCTCTTTTTTAACAGTAATGTTCTATCAAGTCCTACACATTTATACTCATAAAATAAGATTTGGAAACATATATAAATTTCAGCGGAGCATCATTAAAACATTGAACAGAAGATTCCACAGATTTTAAAATGTTACAATATATATAAACAATATATATCTAAAAAAGCAACCAGTTGAGCAAGAAAGATTATTTTTTGTTCTGAGGATTTAGCATTCTACTTATGATTTCCCAAAACAGATCAAACAAAACTATGTTCAAATGACCCGTCAATGCTCTTTAACACGGTGCTTACTTCTTTGGTCTTAAGAACAATAATATTTTTGATGCTACAGACACTCAGTTTTATTATAGCCAGTCAACCTTTCTACAATATGATGCTTTTGGCCTTTCTGGCCGGGAATTCAAAGATCCGTGGGTCTGACATAGGGCAGAGGACATCAGATGGGGAAAGGTTAGCAAGGAACATGAAGCGGCACTACCAAAGGATTCCATTCTACTTCTGGATGATACAAAAAGTATCTCAGAGGAATAAATCATGGCAGCCCATTGCTTGTGCTCTTAGAAATGTGCTACTGTATGCAATGTAATTTGTAAGCTTCAAATCTGTGACCAGATAGAACTGAACAGGATAAAAGTGGGAGCAGGAGATAGAAAATGTATCTTGGTGAAAAGCTAGGCCATTGCTGCTCCTTTTCAGAATTGGTTATAGACACATTGTTCTTGTTATTTATCTACTTCAACACTTTCATCTCATAGAGTACACAACTGCAAAAATAGAAGAATCCTATTTATTTACAATATATATACACACATACACAAATTAAACATTTCCTACAACATAACTACATAGATTTTGGTGGTTGTTGTTGCTGCGGTTGTTAAATAAAAGAGAAACAGATTCAGGGATATGCACATATGTGAGTGCCAAGGTCCGATCAGCCTTCAATATTTAGCAACATTTATTTTTTATCTTCACATTTTGATAACTGAAAGTCTTAAATTGAGGAATAATGGATACATTCAGTTAAAAAGAAAGAAAGACACAGGAAAACATTGTCCAGATGCGAAGTAGCATCCTCAGCAATGTTTGTTTCTGAATAAGGAAAGACTGCCTGATCAAGAGACATTTTAAAAGCAATTTAAGTTAATACAAACTATTGTAATGGCATAAACTGTATTTGAAAAAAAATGAAAGAAGAAACATGCAAGAAACATGTCTTCAATTAATACAGACGGTATTTGGTGTTCCCATAAATAGCTCAATATCATACCTAAGGGAATGAGTTATATTTTTGCTATCCACTCTTAATATCCTCTGCATACCCTGGACAACTATTATAATCTGTTAAAGTGATTCTTCCAGAACTGTGATATGGAAATGGTGAGGGGGAAATATTCTCTTTACAAAAATTGCTCAATTAGGATGCAATTTTGTAGTCTCTGGAAGGAGGTACCAGAAATTGGAAACCAGGCAGATTAATCAATGCCCAGTGAGCTTCTACGGCTGGGAGAACATCTTGGAGGAAAGGTATGGAAACACAGGAACCCATGATCCATAGCATAGAATGTATGCCAACTCTGAAGCTCATATACAGAAACAACAGGGAAATCCTGCTATTCAAAACAAACGTTGAGTAGGAATATATGGAAAAATCCAAAGAGTTCTTCTCCCTTATTTCTGCCCTGCTGAGAAAATTACAGCAAGATGTTGTGCTTATTAAACACTCCAGTGTTATAGCACTCCAAAAGCAGAAAGACTGCTCTGACATATAGCTTATTCCTCAATGTCAGGAACTTCAAGATGTATGGATGCCAAGTCCCACAACTCTCCAGTATGTTGGCTGAAGAATTGTAGAAATTGAAGTCTAGACTTCTAAAAGTTCTTGAGGTTGAGAACCACTGGCTAATACTTAGGAAAAAAACCCTTTATAATTTTAGAATTTAAGATCTTTGCTGGGTAGTCAAGCCCAAAGTCCTAGTAGTTCACCATTTCTTTTCTGTGGGAAAGCCAAGAGAATGCACTGAAAAGAGCTGTATTTTTGTAGTATTTGGATTGGCATGGTTGGGATGGAATGAATTAATTAATTCTATATCCTTTCTGGGTATGGAATTTGGAAACAGTTGTCTATATACTTATAACAACCAAAAATTCCTCCAAGAACCATTTTAAATGCCTTCTAATTGTAAAGCAATGAAAAAATAGCTCCTTTTTTTATAACGCAAAGGCAGGACAAGGAAAGAGTTGGAATTCTCTCTTCTTTTAAATTTCTTTATGCAAGGACATCCATGGGGCAAGAGATGTCAAAATAGTAGAGACTTATACAGGTAATCCTCAACTTACGACCACAGTTGAGCCCAAAATTTATGTTGCTAAGCAAGGCAGTTGTTAAGTAAATTGTGTCCCATTTTATGATTTTCTTTGCCACAGTTGTTAAGTAAATCACTGCAGTTAAGTGAATCATTGTTGTTAAGCAAATCTGGCTTCCTCCATTGATTTCGTTTGTTGGAAGTTGTCTAGGAAAGTTATAAATGATAATCACATGACCCTAGGATAGTGCAACTATGATACAAACTTTTATCACCATAGGGATGCTGCAATAGTCATAAGTGTGAAAACTAGTCATAAGCCACTTTTTTCAGTGCCACTGAATGGCCAGTAAATGAATGGTTGCAAGTCGAAGACAACCTGCACCATAAGTGCTGCTTCTTTCTTATATGTGTCACACACATCCAAAATGGGCTCAACACAGCTTTCATCATTTTAGCAAAAGCAGCAGGATCCCACATACACCCATGTTCCATAGAATGTATTATAATAAAAAAATATAGAAACCAAGTGTGGCTTCCAAAAAGTTTTTTCACCTCTTTTATCAGCAGAGGCCATAGAAAGCATTTTTATTTAATGTGTTGGGTCTCTGTGTGTGCACTTCTCACCTGTGGCATCTGTGTGTTGTGTGGAGAGGGTGGGCTATGCATATTCCGCTCTGGGCATGTCATCAGGAGAGCTGAGAATGGAGCAGATGTCAATATGCTGATGTAGGAAGTCTGAAGGGAATTTCCTAGGGTTTTATTTTTTGCTTGATTCAACCCTTTTTAACTAGATCTTTCTTTTTCAGCTACACCTTCCTACACCAAATATATATCTGCTTTATTCATGTTTCAGGGAATAATCATCACAATGTAAAGGATAAAAAATAAATGGATTGATTATCCCACCCATTCCCTTATTTCTTCCCAGCACTCTTTTGAGTTGGAAATAGCAATAGCACTTAGACCTATACGCTGCTTCATAGTGCTTTTACAACCCTCTCTAAGCGGCTTACAGAGTCAGCATATAGCCCCAAACAGACTGGGTCCTCATTTTACTGACCTCGGAAGGATGAAATGTTGAGTCAACCTTGAGCCAGTCAGCATTGATAATACATTCTTCTTCTGGAACTGCATATTGAAGAAATTAACTGTCCCTAAGCTAGTTAATATTTAATTTGCACAACAGTTTGTCATTCTCACACCATGATCTAGATGGGAAACTCTGCTGTAACATGTTGTGAACTATTGCTCTTCATTGCAAATGGTGGGTAATTTGCCTTTCAGCAAATCAGAACATTACAGTAAATTCCATAAACAGTTTATGACAATCACTAGGATATTTTATGTTAGAAAAGTTTGTTCAATATGAAGAAAAAAAAAGTCAATTCTGAGGAGTCATATATAGTACAAACCCTGAAAAACAGCTTGCTTTTTTGTATTATCCTTCAAATTGGCTTAATGCTAGGGCAGGAAATCTAATTTCATTATCTTTTAGGCCCCAGCATTGTCTATGCAAAATAAACCTATTACTGACTTACTTCACAATATGATTGTGAAATAAAGTGCTTTGTAGAAATCATAAGCAATAAGAAACTCTGAATTAGTATACATTCTTAAAAGCAACAAAAAACCACAAAAAGGCCCATCACTATTCTAGAGCCTGAACCAGCTATACACAAGATGGTCTAAAAATACTCATAATGAAAGGACAAATATCATAATAAAAAGGATTATAAGCTTCTTTGTACTTGATAGCAAGCTCTGAAAAAATTCTGGAGGCAACCCAGAGTACCCACCAAGTTATCTTTATAAATGCCAGCATGTCCTGTATTCTTTCTTTTCATGAACTGCAGACCCTTGAACTATGGACAACCTCTGTACCAGAGGTCAATAGATGGCATTCTCAATTGCATTCTTAAGCTGCCAGTAAAATCTATTTACCAACCAATAAAGATGTCTATTATTATGCAAGGTGCCAATTGCAATGTTCTCTTCTTTGATGCTAGAAGAAATCTCTACTGTATTGCTGAAGAAAAAGTCTCTCCTTTTTATTAATTATATGATTTTGGCAAGACAATTGTCAGTATCTATTTTACTATATGATACTAAGATGGACTTTTTGATGGACCAGTATGTATTTTTATTGGCAACAGCTTTTTTGTTGTTACTGTTCTTGACACCAAGAAATTTTATATTTCACACACCTTACCTCTGGATCTGTTTCTTTTTATTTTAGTATATTTTAATTCAAATAATATTGTCTCAGGACAGGGAGACAAGGTGCAATTTCCTGGGAGACTACTTTGAAAATGGGTACACATGCATAAATATCTCCCACAAGAATAACTGAGCTTAAATAATTAGTCTTTGTCTACTAATACCAAAAGACTCCATAGAGTCCATATGTGACCAAATACTAGTTATCTATCTAATCATTAACCACATTACTGCACCAGTATAATCGGGGGATACAAAATTATTTTCAGGAATGAGGAGATCTACTTTGAATCAGGATAATGGATTTTAGCTGAAAATCAGAAGAAATATTCATGTGCAATATATGAAGTAGTAGAAGATATTCTTCAGCTATTTCATTATCATTTACTGCATACAGAAGACCTATGACCAATGCGATCTGTGAAATTGTTCTGACCACTGTAATAATACTGATGAAAAATTTATAAATTAACAACTGTCTCCTGTGGAAAAATATACAGTGATGATTAATTCTTGTTTGTTTAATAGAGGACATTTCTGATGAGTAGGACATACTGGCAAAATGGATGACTGGTCATTCTTCTTGGTATCTCACTGACCTTCAGTGGCATTGTCTTGAATGCACCCAATCATAGATGACAAGAGGAATGCTTACCATGGAAAATAAAATCCCTAATGCCAAAAAGAGGGAAGCCTAGAACCAAAACGAGATATTATTTACATTTATTTACATGCAACAGTAGGCTCCAACCTGAGACCCAGAGTATAGTTCTTAAAGATATTTAAAAGTTGCTACCACAAATTTTGCATTGGAAGAAGGCAAAATTTTTCAAATGCATGAGCAATATCCTATTAATTATTCTTACTTTATTTAAAAGTAAACTATTTAGAAATACATTCCTAGGCATGGGATTCAAAGGGAAAGTGTGGTCCTCAATTTGGGAAAAGCTGCACACTTCTATTATATAATGATTAGCCAATTGAGAATGGGCTTTAAATCTAAGAAAAAATATGTTCATGGGAAAGACAGGAAAGCCAACATACAATCAATTCATCTCGAATTATGTCAGCAATTCATGGATAAATATATCTCACAATTTAATTCAGAGATGTGCAAAATGTTTCTAATTTGCTTTATCTTGCATTCTAAATATAGTCCTGTTTTGAGTTTAAAACAATTATTTTGCTTTTAAAATAGATAGTTCAACTATTTTGGAAATGACTTTGAATTTATTTCAGAATATGTAATCTTGGCCTTGTTGGGCATCTCTGAGTTTTGTTCCTGCATTCCCAATATCCTTGGTTTCTGTTGCCTTGTATTGGGCAAAGGCTATCAAATGAGAAACCTGTTTTAAGTTTGAAAACACCATCTGTGATTAAGAACTCTGTATAATTAGGTTCTCTTCTTTAAATCTTCATTCTTATTCATAAGCAGTGCAATCAATTTACTGCAGATCATTTTGAGATACTCAGGTATAGCCATTTGCAAACAAATATTTATCTTTGTTGCTTTCTGACAGGAATGTGGCTTATTTAACAATTTGTGTACTGGCAGGATCCAAGATTGTTCACTCTGGTGAAAAAGTATGTTTTACCTTTGTTACATGTTTAATGAAGGATAACAAATCATGCTAACTTACCCAAATTCTCTGAATCAGTTTTGAAGCATCTTGATGGGTGATTTTCAAATAGAGTGAAGATGGAAGAATAAAAATCAACATATTGGCAGATGTTGTTCCTATGACAATCAGAAACATTTTGGTGTTATAATAAACAATGTACAAGTCTAAACCTAACAAAGGGAGGAAATCTTAAATATATTTAGCATACTGTACCTACAACTCCAAAAATATCCTTCATGGAAGGTATAAAAATAACCAACAGGTTAATGATCATCAAAAGGATCAATGTAACTACAATGTGTTGGCATAAATGAAATTTGGTTTTTCTAGCAAGCTCAAATATAGATGAACGAACCTATGGAAGAAAAAAAAAGAAATCTGTTAGGCAAAGTGTTTCATGGGACAGACAACCTTTTATTAATTCTCCTTCAGTATTATACTCTGTGTTCACTTAGAGGAATTAATATATTGTTATATTTGTGAGTATCAGCATTTTCAATCCAATTGTTATTTATTTCAGCTAGAGCTTTTTTATGCTATCACTACTTGTTCTAATAAAACATTAAAATTTTGCTTGAAATTTGCTTTTTGCCAGATGTAAAATATTTAATCTCTCATACGAAGCAGAATTTTCATGTGAAATTATTAAAGAAAGGAGGGAAACAGTGAACACTTCTTATTTTTATAGTGTATAATATTTTACTTTCCACTTTTTGATAAATATTTGAACCCACATTATAAGAGAGTATGATTGCCTTTGAGTTCTGATTGTTCAGGAATTCAGAAGAGGCTTGACTCGACTACCTGGGGAATCCCATAGAGTCTTCTATAAAATACTGCAGTAAGGGTGCTTGGGTAATATAAACACATCAGATTAGGTTTTAACTTTCCTGAATCCCAGTTTGTTTCTAGTTCCAAGAGGTACTTCTAATCTATAAAACTCTTCTGTTTGTGGAACCTGAAGGAATCTTTTTCTGAATGTTCCTACTTGTGCCATGGCCAGCCTCAAAGACCTGCTTGGGATGACTTCTTCTGCTGAGGTATGACAGAAAGTTACCCAGGAACAAGCCTTTACATTGGTTGACTCCCCAAATTTGAAATGCCTTCCCCAGCAAAGTAAGGCTACTGTTGTTTTTATCTGCTGTAACAGTGATTTTAAACTTTTTATTGTTGCTTGCGTTCTTGTTGTTGTTTTAATATTTACTTTTTATATCATTCTATATTTTATAAGATTCTTTCATATATGCTTTATGAATTGCTTTGATTATAAACATCTTCATGATTTTTTTAAAATTGGAAGTGATACAGGTAGTCCTTGATGTACAACCACAATTGAGCCCAAAATTTATGTCATTAAGAGAGACATTTGTTAAGTGAGTTTTGCACCATTTTACGACCTTTCTTGCCACAGTTGTTAAGGGAATCACTGCAGTTGTTAAGTTAATAACATAGTTGTTAAGAGAATCTGGCTTCTCCATTGACTTTGCTTGTAAGAAGTTTGCAAAAGATGATCACATGATCTGGGGACAATGCAACCGTCATAAATATGAACCAGTTCCAAGCATTCGAGTTTTGATTACCTGATCATGGGGATGCTGCAATTGTTGTAAGTATGAAAAATGCTCATTAGTCACTTTTCTCAGTGCTGTTGTACTTTGAATGGTCACTAAACAAATTGTCCTAAGTCGAGGACTATCTATATTTCCCAATTTTAATGTTTAAAATAAATGCATAGAATGCTAGTTTGATCTTCTGCATTATATCAGCTTTTCTAAATCAGCCATACTGAAAACTACTATAATTTCCATTAATTTTATAATGCTCATCAATGAGCAATGTCTGGGGATGATGGGATTTATGCCCTAATACAGTCTGGATTTGTGGAAGGCTAAACAACATCACTAGCTGTCATCAATGTTCCTGTTTTAATATTTAAGCATTGACAAGGAGCACCAGCAATTACTTATGTCAGAGTAAAGATACTTCAACATTCCAAATCACCTTAAGCATTCTAGCCTTCCGAGTATCTATCTATCAGAGAACAAGGAGGGGAAGGAGGAAAATGAAAGGTGCAAACAACTGTAATGCAGAATGAGTCAGCTGCGTATCAAATCATATTCATGAACCAAAACAGCCCATAAATAGAACTCCATGGAGTAAATGGGAAAATAGACAATTAGGTAATAGGGACTTGAAAAGAAAAAGAAAGGAAAATTGAGTTGAGCTCCTATGTTCATATGGGAAAGATGATTTAAGTAGAAAAGATGGCTCAGTGCCTGAATTGTTTTTGCAGCTTGATAGGTATATTATTTTATAGGTATGTTATTTATTTATAGGTATATTATTTATTAGACAATTGATAATTAAATGTCAATTGGTTTACTGAAAGTAGAAATCATATTTTTTTTTTAGAAGGCTGGGGATAGATGTTAACTTGTGATCTATTCTTGCCAAAACAAAAACTAAATAAGGAAGCAAAAATTCAATTCTTGTATTTAGGAACTGCCAATCTATTAACAAATGGACAGAAAATTCCAACTTACGGTGAAAAACAACACGGGGACTGTGAGTATGACTGCAAGAATGACGGCAACACGAACAGTTAAGACAAGGATGTCATCCTTATTCTGGTATTTGTGAAGCAAATCTGACTGTACAGATTCTGCAGGGAAAACAATGATAGAGCTGTTCTAGCAGTCAGATAATTAATACAAGCTGCCATTTAGTAAGAAACATCTCAAACAACATGATTTAATCTTTTGAAATGAGGCTGGTGAATCACCCTTTCAAATTGAATTGTCAGAATGGTTCAGCGCATCAAACTGTGTGGGATCCATTTGTATCTGCTAACAGAGACTTGGCCTCAGTAATTCAATATTCAATGAATGTGGTTGTTTGCTTTTTCTTAATTGATTCAGAAGTGAGAATCTACATGATTTTCTAATTCAAATTAATTTTCTGATCCAAATTTCAAATTTAAATCAAAGTTTAGGTGATTAGCATTATAATATTCTATGTGTTCCTTTTCAGAACCCTGAAACATATGCAAAGATGAATAAATATGTATTGCAGAGCTAGAAATTTATGCTAATAACTAGACAACCTGTGGCCATTGGGTCATTGTTTCAGAGATATTTCCTTACCTAAAGAGAGAAAAAGAATGACCACGGGTGGGTTGGTGGGCAAAAAAGGAGTGGGAGCCAGCTTCCCTATAGAGTTTCCTTGTGGGAAGCTAGCAGGAAGCAACAGAAGCATCCTTCCTTCCTTCCTTCCTTCCTTCCTTCCTTCCTTCCTTCCTTCCTTCCTTCCTTCCTTCCTTCCTTCCTTCCTTCCTTCCCTCCCTCCCTCCCTCCCTCCCTTTGCTTGGAGAAGTAGGGAAGCCAATAGGAAGTTTCAAGTTCAAGGCCAGCAGACAAGTATGTGACTGCCGTTGGTTGGGTGTGAGAATGAGAATGAGGTCAGAAATGGTACATGGGTGTGTGTGAGAGAGATACTGTTTGTGTTGGGAAGAGGATGTTGGTGTTTACTAGAGATACCATCGAGGGATGGTGTATAGATGGGAGTGTGTAGAGTATGATATACAGGTCAAGAGATGGTGAGTGGGGTTACAGGAAGGATGTATAGGGTGCCCAAGAGGTGCTGCATGGATTGGGCAATGTGCATGGGAGGGGTATGGTTTGGAGAAGAGTGTGTGGTTGTACGAGAGGTGCTGCACTAGTGAGGCAAGATGCTCATAAGGGATGGTATAGGTTATGAAGAATGCATGGGAGTGCTCAAGAGGAAAAGACATGAAGCGGGCAGCCTGGGTCAAGGAAGGTGTGCAGGGGCATGGCCAGTGGTGGGATTCAGCCAGTTTGTACTGGTTCAGCAGAACTGGTAGCTAATTTTTTGTTGACTTCAGGGAACTGGCTGAAGCTCTAGCCCTTTTTCACAAGGCCCAGAATGGACTGCCGGAAGTGTGTGGATGCCACTTCCGGAAGTCTGTTGAGCCTCGGAGGCCTAGCAGAGGCCTCCCAGGCGCAGAACGGCCCACCAAAAGTGTGTGGACGCCACTTCTGGAAGTCTATTCTGAGCCTCGGAGGCCTGGGGGAGGCCTCCCAGGCCCAGAATGGCCCATTGGAAGTGCATGGACACCACTTCTGGAAGTTCATTCTGAGGCTCGGAGGCCTGGGGGAGGCCTCCCAGGCCCAGAACGGCCCACTGGAAGTGCATGGATGCCACTTCTGAAAGTCCGTTCTGAGCAGGGGAAGTCTCCTAGGCCCAGAATGGACTTCTGGAAGTGGCGTCCATGCAGAGAACTGGTTGTTCAGGTATTTGAATCCCACCACTGGGCGTGGCACAGGTTGGTGGAACACAAAAGGGAGTGGCATGGACTGGGAAGGGCTTACAGAGATCCTGTTCCTCTCTCCCTTCCTGCCTTCCTTTCTTCTTTCCTTCCTTCATTTATCAAAATCAAATTTACTAAACTTTATCAAATTTCATTTCTCAAATTTATATGCCATTCATCTTGCGATTTGAGGTGACACTGAGTGGCTAAGGCTTTCCCCCTTCCCTTAAGTATAAGTGGCTGTTGTTGTGTGTGTGGGGGGGAACTGCTAGACTGGCTGAGAAACTGCCATGGAACAATGAAAATGAAGATCACGTGACCACAATCCAGTCCAGCAGCACAGCAACATCAACACTGAAACAGCCACAACTTTCCCAAGTTTCACTTCATTGGGAGTCATGGGTCCCAAATATGGATACAAGAAAGAGTGGGTAGAATATCCAGATAAGAAAATGTCCTTTTCAAATTAAGCATACACCTCCTAATCTGGATGCTACTTTCTGTACAAAGAAGGAAAAAAATGGCAACACACATTTTATAAAATTCATCTTTGATGGCTATAATGTTTGAATTATAGTTTAATCATTATTGGCCTCAGTTGCTTGCTTTAAAAAGTATTATGAGGTCAAGAATAAGTTACCTAAAATATCATGCATGCTATGGAAGACTGAATACATACATACCATAAAATGTCAAGTAGCCAAAAATAGCAGTTAAAAAGTACATGACAAACATGGCAAAGAAAGAGATTTTTGTAACCATCTGCATTCTTTTCTGGGAATGACTATAAAAAAAAAGGGAAGGGGAAGGAGAGGAATGAAGAGATAAATGAATATTGGTGGTATTATTCAATTATTATTTTCATTCAGAGGTTGCCCAACATCTCAGCAACACTTATTAAACTTTAATACATGCTCAGAGACACTATACCATTTACTACAGAGGTCTCCAACCTTTCCAGGCTCACGGCCCAGAGGGAAGGAGAGCAGCTTCCAAACTGGTGCGTGCGCACATGCAAATGGGTCCATGCATACTGGCGTGACGTTAGCAGCCCCGTTTGCGCATGCACAAATGGGCCACGCACACCTGCCTGGCACTAGCATTCCCGTTTGTGCCCACGTGCATGTGCAAACGGTGCCGTGGGCGCTAGCGCGAGTGAGGGGAGTGCGCGCGCATGTATGCACTGGCTAGCCATTTCTGCGGCCCACTGGCCAAGAGGCCACAGCCCAGTAGTGGGCTGTTGCCCATAGGTTGGGGACCCCTGATTTACTATACTCATTTATAGATAAAATGAGTATTAATATGACAGTTGTGAAGGATAGTAAAAACCAATTCTTCCATCTTAAGCCATCTGTTTTAACAATGAGTAAGTGCTAATAGATAATTTCCCAAATGCATTCCTCATTCACTGTCATGAAGGAACATATTCAAAACACATGAGATATTCCCCAGATTTAGGAATTAATGATTAAAAAATTCACTTTCTATATTTCCATCCAAACCTTAGCTTATTTCCCTTGAAGGAATGCATGTATTTTAGAAGGTCATTCTTCCATATAGTACAGACATGTCAAACTCACGACGTCATGTGACATCACATGACGTATCGAAGCTTTTTCCCCATTGCCGGCAATGGGGTGGGCGTAGTTTCCTGCTGACACGTCCGGCCCGCAGGCTGGCAGTTTGATACCACTGGTATAGTATCTCAAGATAGCTTGCAGTAGTACAGAATTAAAATATAATGTAGGCACCACAAAACTGAAAAAATACCACTAAAACAAGACCCAAGGGCTCCTCATGCATTAAAAATTGCAATGCTGGGGAAAAGTCCTAAAGAGTCTCCTTGGAAATTAGGTTCCAAGATTGGGGCACCACAAGTGAAAAGCCTCCTTGCCAGCATCCTACCTCATACCTTCTACCAAGTGGAAGATCAAACAGATTCCTGACAAACCTAGCAGACAATTTTGTCTCCCAAAAGTAGAGAAGGGAACTAGGGGATTAGCCATTTTGGATCTAATTCTCATTAACAGAGATGAAATGATAGAAGGTGTTGAAGCCACAGGAACCTTGGGAAGAAGTGATTATGCAATATTGGAATTCAACATTATGGAAGCACAAGCAATAGAACACAGTCAAACTAGAGTCTTGGACTTCAAGAGAGCTAATTTCAGTAAACTTAGAGAGGGTTTGGGAAGGATTCCATGGATGAGAATCCTTCAGGGGAAAACAACTCAAGAGGCTTGGGAAATTTTGAAAAGTGAGATAATAAAGGCCCAGTCTAGCACAATACCAACAAAGAGGAAAAATAACAGCTTTCAAAAGAAACCAGCATGGCTGCATAAAGAACTCTCTGATCAATTGAAAGATAAAAAGGACAAGTATAGAAAGTGGAAAGAGGGGCACATAACTAAGTCAGAATATCAACAAATAGCTCGAGCCTGCAAAGATGAAGTGAGGAAAGCTAAGGCTCAAAATGAACTAAGGCTTGCGACCAAAGTCAAAAATAACAAAAAAAGCTTCTTTCAACATGTAAAAAACAAGAAAAAAGTGAAGGAAATGATTGGTCCATCAGTGGGGGAAAGTGGCAAGAAGATGAAAAGCAACAGGGAGAAAGCAGAACTATTTAACTCGTTTTTCACATCCGTCTTTACATAAAGGGAAAAAACAGACCAACCTATCAAAAATAGTGCCATAAAAAACAAAATAGAAATACAAGTTAAGATAGGCAAGAAAATGGTAAGTGAGCACCTGTCCAGCCTAGACAAGTTCAAATCACCAGGACCAGATGGATTACACCCCAGGGTTCTCAAGGAACTGGCAGATATGATCTCAGAACCATTGAACTATATTTTTCAAAGATCCTGGAGCACTGGGGAACTACCGGAGGACTGGAAAAGAGGTGATGTAGTTCCCATCATCAAAAAAGGAAAAAAAATGGACCCAGGAAATTACAGACCTATCAGCCTGACCTCGATACCTGGGAAGATTCTGGAAAAGATAATCAAACAACAAATCAGCAAACATCTAGAGGCAAACAAAGTCATTACTAAAAGCCAACATGGGTTGGTCAAAAACAGATCATGCCAGACAAATCTTATTGCATTCTTTGACCAAGTGACAAAATTAGTGGATCAGAGGAATGCTGTGGATGTAATTTACTTGGACTTCAGTAAGGCATTTGATAAAGAAGATCACAACCTACTATTTGATAAGATAAAAAAATGTGGGTTAGACAGCATCACCACCAGATGGATCCATAGCTGGCTGACTGGCCAAACTCAATGTGTGGTCCTCAATGGAACCGCATCTACATGGAGGGAAGTGTGTAGTGGGGTGCCCCAGGACTCTGTTCTGGGCCCAGTGCTCTTCAACATCTTCATCAATGATTTGGATGAGGGGATAGATGGGGAAATCATCAAATTTGCAGACGACACCAAGCTGGCAGGAATAGTCAACACTCCAGAAGACAGGCTTAGGATACAGGAGGATCTGGACAGACTTGAACACTGGGCTCTATCTAACAAAATGAAATTCAATGGTGAAAAAAGTAAGGTTGTACATTTAGGCAAGAAAAACCAAATTGTACAGGTATAGTATAGGGGGTACCTTGCTCAATAGTAGTAACTGTGAGAGGGACCTCGGAGTCCTAGTGGACATTCACTTAAATATGAGCCAGCAGTGTGCTGCAGCTGCCAAAAAGGCCAACACAGTGCTGGACTGCATTAACAGAGGGATAGAATCAAGATCACGTGAAGTATTAATACCACTTTACAATGCCTTTGTAAGGCCACACTTGGAATACTACATACAGTTTTGGTCCCCACGATGTAAAAAAAATGTTGAGACTCTAGAAAGAGTACAGAGAAGAGCAACAAAGATGATTAGGGGACTGGAGGCTAAAGCATATAAGGAAAGGCTGCTAAAATTGGGTATGTCTAGTTTAATGAAGAGAAGGACTAGGGGGGACATGATAGCAGTATTCCAATATCTCAGGGGCTGCCACAAAGAAGACGGAGTCAAGCTATTTTCCAAGGTGCCTGAAGGCAGGACAAGAAGCAACAGATGGAAACTAATCAAGGAGAGAAGCAACCTAGAACTAAGGAAAACTTCCTGACAGTTAGAACAATTAACCAGTGGAACAACCTGCCTCCAGAAGCGGTGAATGCTCCAACACTGGAGGTTTTTAAGAGACTGGACAGCCATTTGTCTGAAATGGTATAGGGTTTCCTGCCTGAGCAGGGGGTTGGACTAGATGACCTCCAAGGTCCCTTCCAACTTTATTATTATTATTATTATTACTATTATTATTATTATCATCATCATCATCATTATTATTTCTTTTTGCAAGATTCTCAGTAACAGTGTCAGAGCAATACAAGTGGGGACCTGCAAAGATTTGTCTATAGTGGAGGCAAATGAATGAACTTACATATAGTAATTGTAGCAATATATGTGATTAAACATGTAGATTAACACAGTGAGTATATTTTTCTCCCACTGTAAATAACAGCTGCTGGAATGATTACAGTAAGCCTAATTAGAGGTTTTGGTAATGTGACAAATTCCTATCTAGTTTCATAGGAAAGATACAGTAGTACTTGAAGTGGAAGAAAAGAATCTGTTGTGATTATGACATGAAAGAAAGAATTATGTATCCATCCCCATAAGTTGAGAAAGATTATGATTATACCTTCACAGTAACCCTTCTTTTGGATCCTGAATCTGTGCAGGATCCCCATTGACCTCGGTTTAGAATAGTTTCTTACTGTGTCAATTTAAAGCATTAGTAAAGACCTATAAATGATTTATCCATGACCTCTTAGAGCAAGGGTCCTCAACCCATGGTCTGTGGACCGGCACTGGGCCACAGCATGCCAGAAACCAGTCCACGCAAACAAAACCCCATCTGCGGGATGCAAGCAGTACATGAAACCACACCCCCTCCAGTCCGCAGAAAAACCTCTCTCCGTGAAACTGGTCCCTGGTACTCAAAAGGTTGGGGATCTGTGTCTAAGAAGTAGTTTGCCTGCATGTACATTTTGATGGAAAGTTCTTTCTCTGTGTCCTGAAAGTAATGAAAGCAAGTATCTTAAGGGCAACAGAAACGACTTTTACAATAACTGCATCTAAACTGTTGAAAGTCAGCACCCACCCACCTTCCTAGAGAAGGAAATATTTGTGGGGATATTAAAAAAGGCAGAATATTATATTTCCCCAAAGGAATAATGGAGAAAAAAATTCTTAAAAGGCTTTTTTACCCAAGTTTTCCCAGGCAGAAAATGAGCAGGCCAGCTTTTAGAAATGCAGATTTGGGGCCACCTATTCATAAACAAAATGCCTTCAGCCACAGCCCCAGAGAAGGTTTAAGATGATGGGATTAGAAAAACAAAGACTCCCAAGGACAGGAAGATGACCTTCAGGACACAATAGGATTAACTCACCACCATTAGAATACCAAAAGGGCACACTCAGGCTCAGGTCAAAGTACATTGCACAGGAACAGGAAATACAAAGCCACAGAAACAGGAAGAATCTCAAATATAAACCCAAAGAAGATATAAAAGCCAACCTATACCAACTCCATTTGTCAGCTACCCAAGAAACATGCTGTGTCACTGAAGTTTCTGGCAATTCAATAAACTGAACCTTCTCCCCTAAGCAGCCTCCGTTTTATTTATTCCTGGCTTGAACTGGACCCTGATGAAGATTTTTCCTTCAACAATTTGGCACCCAGGATGGTGCTTCAAGCTAACCTCACCAATGGACCGGGCCTGGGTAAGCCTCCATCTTGCCGGCAGCAGACCCCTTATGTCTATGGGTGGGTTTCCCAGACCCTGCCTATTTGGAGCAATGGTAGTAAAGGGAGTTTTGAGTTTGAACTCAAGGGCTGCTTTGGAAAAAAGGTGAGTACCTCTAAATGTTAACTTTTAAAGCCCAGGGGAGTGAGGGAAATGTGTGTATGTCTGTTTGTGTGAATGAGAAGATCCTTCTTCCAATCACAGCTGGATCTTGCTCCCTCTGGCCTTTCCTAACCGCAAACTGATCTGTTCAAATGACAGACCCTGGAAAGCTCAAGCCCATTTATGCTAAAACATTTAATAAAATTGTTACGTGTTTTGAATACAGCACTGCAGTATAAAATCTAAAGAAATGAAAAATGTAAATTAAGTTTTAATCTGGCAATTATTTCAGGAGTTATAGATCAGATGAGTTTGTATTAAAAACTATAAAAATTAAAGTTCTCAGATAGATCTAGAAAACAATACTATAGAAAACAGATTAATTTTGTTTGATTTTGTTTCATTATTCGTTTAACCTAATTAAGCAGTCCCTTTTAGGCATCACTCTGTTTGGATGGATATACAAATATCCCCTCTTATAATGGGGATATTACCCAATTTCATATATGCTAAATTTAATGCGCACAATTAAAGCTGTAGTTTTATTCACAAAGAACTTTTCATTGATTCTTCTTGGGTTTCTAATCTTCTGTTATCAGTCCAGAGTTGCCAGTGTGAAATGGGTGGCCATATAAATCAATACATCAATCAATCAACCACTGACAAGCTGACTTTCCACAGATAGTTTAGGATACAATAATGAGACACTTAACTTTTGCTAGAATAGATTATCGTTAGGAATTATGCAGTGGTAATCCAAACACATGGAGAATACCAAGCTATTTACGTTACTTATATACCTACTATCCCTATACAATTTCTACAATCCTCAGAAGATCTGAGAATTCAATATACTCTGCCTTCCAGAGTTTAGTGACATAGTTCTTAATTTTTTAGTAGAATATAACACCTGATTGAAAAAGTAGGGTTGAAAGGGAGAGGAAACCCCCACCCACCATTTACATTTCTGCTTTGTTAAGCTGCCTTTGAGCCAGATGTGGATAATGGTGCTGTAGTAAAACATCCCTTCAGAGTGATTATTAGCATTGTTGGCATTTCTATAAATAGCTATGCAGATCTAAAGAAAATGCACAAGCGAGTAATAGCATCCCTTCATTCTATTCCCCCCCCCCCAATCAAGTCTTTCTGGAATGTTCGGAGGGAGGAAAGTATCAATTATTCCATCTCCTTTGGATAATGACAGCACTGTAGCATATAACTTAATATTCCTATCATTCAGATGAAAATGTTCTTTTTAACAATCAGTAATAAATATTTTCTTACTCTTTAAGTTCACTGTAGATTGGAAGGACTGACGGATGGCATACAAATGCAAATGCAATGGTAGGCAAAGCATACACACTCTGTTAAAAAAAAGTAAGAATCAGGATACTTTTCCTATAGTTGTTATAAAGTCTTTATTGTTTCAAATATCAGAATTGGAATTTTATGTACTTTTGCATCTGTAGTAAAATGATGTTTGGTCAATAAATTTCAGTGAATGTGTCTAATGATATACTATGGAACATAGAGTTCTTAAGCATCATTTAGTTTTACTTTTCATTACCAGGACAAAGTATACACCCTGAGATTTCTTAAATTTTTAAAAAGCACATTCTACAATTGAACTTGTATGTTCCTATAATATCTATAGCATCCTATTAGTGGAAAGAAATGGCAAATACTGTAGAAAAAACATACCTTAGAATTAAATGTAACATACTTTGGTCTGCATGCCTCCGTGTCAAAGCTAAAATTGGAAAAGGTAGCATCTGTTGCATTTCTGTCCAGAAAAGGACAAGAAAGCTGAAATTTCTTGTATATGACCTACAATAAAGGATCAAAGTTGAAAATGCTCAGCAAATGGTTTTAAATTGGAAGTTTAATCACTTAGACCAAATTGAAACATTAAGTCCAACTTACCACTATGAGAAAAAATACCATACATGTCAGGGAAAATCCACTAGTATAGCCAAGATAGCCTGATAGAAATTCAAAGGACAACATATTCAGTAATTTATTATTATTTTCATTTATGTACTTAATGGATCATCATATACATTTGAAATTGTTCACCTTTTTAAATGATCATATAAATATAATGAGACTTAATAGCCAGTCTTAGTTGGGCTAGTAATATTCAATATTTTTACTGAAGTATCTATCTATCTATCTATCTATCTATCTATCTATCTATCTATCCATCCATCCATCCATCCATCCACCTATCTATCCTATTTCTAAACTGCCCATCTCCCTCAGATACTTATTGATTATTTTTTTGTCTATAAATAGAAATATATTTCTATATAATATGGTATCATAGGTCTAGCACTGATAATATTACCCTTTGGATAATGAAATGTCTGCAAGAAAACAACCAAGCTCAGTGAGTACCAAGGACCTCTCGTTTCAAACCTGAGCTACAAATATTCTCCTTTATTAATAGAAGTTGCATAGCAGTGATGATTTATAGGCATTACAAGAAATGCCTGTTATTGCTTCCACTGCTGCACTTTGAACCAGGTGTAGCTTCTGAATGATCTTCAAGGGCAGCCCAATGTATTGCAATAAGTGCATTGTAATAGTCCTGTCTCAAGGTAACCAGGGTATGAGTGGCCATCTGAAGAGCTTCCCAAATGAGGAAAGGGGGCAACTGATGAATCTGTACAAAGGTCTTCTTAATACATCTGAAAGAAAGTGGCATAGATTGTTCTTCAAATAACCTTCTGTCAAACTGTGTAGATTATTTAAGGTCTTTGAACTAGGACACAAAGTATACTAGCAGTTATTGTACTTAGTATGGAATCCATTCAGGTTATATTCAGATTGTGTATTCCTCATAGTTGGTCATCACAGTCTTTTAAAAATCACCATGGTTGATTTTTATCTCTGTCATCTGAGTTACTCTGAAGAAATACTTTTTGATGTTTTCCATTGTAAAATGGGAGTGCCACTGTCATCATGTGACACAGAAATTAGACTGGAAGCTAGTTCAATTAATCAATTGCATTTATGTACCATCTCTTCTCTGATAACTCAGGGAGGTATGGGGGGGGAGGGGGAGGGGGAGAGGAAAGCAGTTCTTTAAATGCTATTGTCAGGTCCCTATTGGAAAGCTGCCATTCTGAGGGGAGGGGAGAATTATTTGGGGATTGAGGATGTTTCTATATTGTTTTTACTTTCACTTTGATGTATCTGCATGGGAATTGGGGAGGGGGAATGAACCCTCAGGGCCATCTGGTTTGACTCCTTTCTGGCTAATGTCTCCCTGCTACCAAGGTTGTGGCACCAAGGAACAACTTGTTATCACTTTTTCAGCTTGGAGTTCTCACAACAACTTTACGCCAGTGGATTGGTGCCTGACTGGGGCATTGGGGTGGAGTTTGGACAATGGGAAATTAGCTTAACATTTGCGTGGGAACTTCAGATTCCACCTGACCTCTCTGCAATCACTTTCTCTCAGTAAAAGATCCTTTTGGTATTATGCTTGTTTCAAGAGTCATGCTTTCCTGATAAGATAGCTGAGGCAGGACCTTATATTAGGCAGAATCTGCAAAGTGGCCAACCCGGAAAGGCATCCACCCTGGAGACCATGCAAATAATGTCAAACCAAGGCAGTGACCAGGAAGAAATCGAGTACTGGGGGGAAGCCCCTGCTAAGGCTCACCCCAGCACAAGCTCTGCAAGATGGACAGAAGAAGCTGTCAGTCTAGGGGACTCATCTAAGCCAAGATGGTCCAGTGGTGTGGGGGAAGGGAGATGACTAGGAAGAGAGGACCAAGGGGGTCATCCTCTCCTGAGGCATCCGTCAGCATGGATGGAGAGAGGATCTGGAGGGAATGGACAATGATGAGGGGCATGGAGAAGGACCTGACCATGCCAACCATTCTCATGATGGAGGCATTCAAGAACATGAAGGCATGAGAAGCCTTAGCCCAAGTGATGGGGGACAATGGCTGATGCGACCGATCAGCAAGTAGAGGGGGAAAATCATCACCTCTGAGTGCTGCGGTGGGTATGGCCAAAGCCTTGGAGGGGCAGCAACTGCCATGGAAGGGTCCCCCCAAGGGGACTTGGGAGGAACAAATGCCCCAAGGACCGGCAAAGGTGGAGCGCCCCAGTGAGAATGCAAAGCACACCCCCTCAGCGTGAAGTTTGATTGTGACCATCAGCAGCTCAGGTTCTTCCTAGCTCATATCCTCATTTACATACAGGAGTATGGCCACGAGATCCCCACCTAGGAGGCAAAAGTCAGGGTTATCACCCTGGCACTGGAGGCGGCCACAGCTAGGTGAATGGCGACCCTCCACAATGTGAACGCTCCAGAGCTACATAACTTCAACTGGTTTATGACAGCTCTGAAACAGCAATTTGAGGACCCTCTTGCTGATCGCAAAGCCCAAGATTGCATAAAGATGATGTGACAGGGGCGTGCCTCAGTAACTGAATACACTGAAGAATTCTAGGATGTAGCTTGCCGCCTTGACTGGCCAGAGAACATCCTTGTGAGCTGCTTCAAAGATGGCCTAAACAATAACTTATACAATGCTTGCATTGTGAGAGAGGCTCCCACAGGCCTCTATGACTGGTGCATGCTAGCCGAGGAAGCTGAAATCGACCAAGCCCGAAATAAGTACTGCATCAGTAAAGTTTGGAAAAAGTCACTCCCAGAGAGGAAGAGAGAAGCAACCAGACCCCAATCCAGCTGGTACGATCCACTGCCTTCTTCAAATGTGGTAAGGAAGGCCATAGAGCAACTGAATGCAGAGCAAAGACTCCAGCAAAGGAGGGAGAGCATGCACCAAGTGGGAAAGCTGCCAAATCGCACCACCATGTGAAGGAGATGGCCACGAAGAGCACAGGGGAGTTCAACCCCTCACCCAAATGGAGGGAGGGAACTCTGACCTCACTGGAGGAAGACCAAGAGTTCTCAGACACTGAGTATGACAACGATCCCTTGTTAAGTGGGTCAATCAAGCCTTTAACTATGCCCATAGAGCTGCATCTTCTGGGTACTGGGAAAAACACTTCCCTGAAGACCCTATTAGATTCAGGATGCCTAGTGAGTCCAGCTCTAGTAGAGAAAATGGGTATCTGCTTAAGAAGGCTGAAAACCCCAATTGCATTTTGCCAACCAGATGGGGTATCCCAGCCACATTTGCTGAAACCCTAGGGATGACAATGGGAGCCCACTCAGAGACTTTAACTTTCAAAATAGCCCCTGGGTGGAAAGGCCACTCATTCTGGGACTGACCTGGCTGAAGAAATAAAATCCATGGGTAGATTGGAGGAAGGGGCTGTTGACCTTCTCACTGAAAAGAAACCCCCCACGGCAAGGCAGAGAACCTCCCCCAATGGGCCCTCTGCAAAGAGATCGGGGGGGGGGCAGTAAAAGGGAAAGATCTGTTAAGAATACCAAGACTTAAAGGATGTATTCAGTGAGTGGGGGTTGGATGAGCTCCCTCCTCACTGACCCACAGATTGCGCCATCGAAATCGTCCCAGGGGCTAAGTTACCAAAACCGTAGCTCTACTCAATGACCTCTAGGGAGCTAGATGAGCTACATATTTTCATTGACAAAAATCTAATCTGAAGGTTTACCCAGCCAGCGCGGCCTCGGGTGGCTGCCCCTGTCCTATTCTGAGAAAAGAAGGATGGCTCTCTTCATCTCTGCATTGAATATAGGGGGCTGAACGCAGTGTGCACCCCCTTCCCCTCATGAAGGACATGTTGGCCCACCTGGCAAAGGGGAGGATTTTTTTCCAAACTAGATTTGTGAGAGGCTTACTGCTATGTTAGAATCAGAGAAGGGGATGAATGGAAGACTGCTTTTAAATGCCCAATGGGCTGCTTCCAGTTTAAAGTACTCCCCTTTAGCTTACAAGGGGCCTCCACAGTGTTCATGCAGCTGATAAACGAGGTGTTCCATGAACATCTATACAAAGGGGTTCTAGTGTATCTTGATGACATCTTAATTTACACAGAAATGAAAGTGAATGTGAAACTGGTCAGGGCTGTTGGAAAAACTCCATGTAGCCAAGCTGTATGCTAAACTGTCTAAGTGTGAGTTTCACAAAGACAAAATCGATTACCTGGGGATTTGTATTTCCCATGAAAGGGTTGAAATGGACCCAGAAAAGTTGCGGGCAGTATTAGAGTGGGCACCCTCATGCACCAGAAAGCAATTGCGAAGCTTCCTAGGGTTTGCCAACTTTTACCAGCAGCTCATCTCCTCATTTGCTCGGATAGCCCATTACCAACTTGCTGAAAAAAAAGGGTGGGGATAAGCCAAAACCCAGCCAACCTCTGAAATGGACTATGGAATGCCAGGCGGCATTCAAAAAACTCAAGACATTTTTTTCTGCAGAATCGATGCTGAAGCACCCAGACCCTGAGAGACTTTTTGTCATTCAAGCTGATGCCAACAATGTTGAGATGGGGGCCATAGTACTGCAGAAAAATGAGGAAGGGCAACTGCACCCATGCATTTACACATCAAAAAAGCTAATTGCGACTGAACAACGTTGGGCTGTATGCGAGGAGGTATATGCTGTTTGATGGGCTCTCATCTTCTGGAGACATTTTCTAGAGGGGAGTAAAATCCCATTCCAGGTCTGGACTGATCACAAAAATCTGGAAGCATTAAAAATTCCTTGAAAGCTATCTCTTACACAAGCACAGCAAGCCAGTACTTCCTATGTTTCGAATTCACCCTACACTATTTACTGGGGGGGGGGAACGTCCCGGCAAATGCTTTTTCTAGAATGCCACAATACAATGGTTCCAAGATGGAAATATCAAGCCTCTACTCTCCTCACACCAGCTGGTGGCCCAGGTAACCACAAAAGCCCAGCAGAAGGGAAAACTGTCCATGGACAATGCTACCATAGTGGCTTTTAAGAAAGCCCTGGAAAAAGACGAGTGGTTTGGCAGCCACAAAAATGTGTGCTCTATGCAGGATGGACTGGCCTGGGTAGGTGGAAAGTTGTATGTACTTGTCAGCCAGAGACTAAAAACCATGCAAATATGCCATGACTCAAAGTTGGACACTTTGGATTTGTGAAGATTTTGCATCCCCTTGAAAGACAGTTTTGGTGGCCCTCACTCAAAAAAGAAATTGAGAGTTATGTCTCCAGCTGCCCTATACACACATTGGAACGACGGAGACATGGGCTACTTTAAATAGTAGCTGAGCCGTCGACACCCTGGAGAGAGATCTAAATCTAGAATAATTGAAAACAATTTCCCATGTCAGAAATTCAGTAATTTATAACAAGAGTAGTACATCTTGACCAAATTGTGAAATCAAGAAATGAAACTGCCATTTCATAATTTCCAGTAATCCAATTTTCCCTTGCAATAATTCAAATGGTTTAGAAACTTCACTGACAATAAGCTAATCCTCTAGTAATATCATCCTTGCCTATGTCTTGAAAAGAACCTGTGATTTTCAAGCAGAATTTTTAAATTTTGTAAAAAAAAAAAAAAAAAGCCCTATCAGAATTAAGAATGTTTCACACGGGACTGTAAAAGTTCTTGACTGCAAAAATATTACTTTATATTCTAAAGAGCAGTAAAGGCCGAGAATTTTTAGAAGAAAAGGAAAACAGTAGATTATAGTGCAAGGATTGTCCTGCAAGCCTTTATTGATGAATTGTAATGTTTAGTATGACAAGAAGAGGCAATTATTATATCATTAGGTAATAATTATATAAAATTTTATATAATTTTATATATAAAATTATATAAACATCATGAGAAAGGCAGGGCTAGATGAATCAAAAGTTGGAATTAAGATTGCCGGGAGAAATATCAACAACCTAAGATGTGCAGATGATACCACTCTAATGGCAGAAAGTGAAGAGGAACTAAAGAGCCTCTTGATGTGGGTGAAGAAGGAGAGTGCAAAAGTTGGCTTGAAACTCAACATTAAGAAAACCAAAATCATGGCATCTGGCCCTCTCAATTCCTGGCAAATAGATGGGGAAGAAATGGAGGTAGTGACAGATTTTATTTTTCTGGGCTCCAAGATCACCTCAGATGGGGACTGCAGCCAAGAAATTAAAAGACGCTTGCTCCTGGGGAGGAAAGCTATGGCAAATCTAGACAGCATACTAAAAAGCGAGACATCACCCTGCCAACAAAAGTGCGTATAGTCCAGGCCATGGCTTTCCCAGTTGCAATGTATGGCTGTGAAAGTTGGACCATAAGAAAGGCTGAGCGCCAAAGAATTGAGGCCTTTGAACTATGGTGCTGGAGAAGACTCCTGCGAGTCCCTTGGACTGCAAGGCGTTCAAACCGGTCAGTCCTAGAAGAGATCAACCCTGACTGCTCTTTAGAAGGCCAGATCCTGAAGTTGAAACTCAAATACTTTGGCCACCTAATGAGAAGGAAGGACTCACTGGAGAAGGGCCTAATGCTGGGAAAGATTGAGTGCAATAGAAGAACGGGACGACAGAGAATGAGATGGCTGGATGGAGTCACTGAAGCAGTAGGTGTGAACTTAAATGGACTCCAGAAGATGGTAGAGGACAGGAAGACCTGGAGGAACGTTGTCCATGGGGTCGCGATGGGTCGGACACGACTTCGCAATTAACAACAACAACAATATAAACTGTATCTAATTTAATTACTTTCTGTTCTATCCCTCATTATCCAATGCATTCTCATGTTATAAACAATCAAAAAGTAAAGGGCACTTTTAGATTCTCTGGGTGAACTTTTATGAAAAAAAAATCTTGTTATATAGTACACTGTAGATGATTAAGCTCTGAAGAGGTAAATTCAGAGGACTTGTAATAAGCAAAAAGCAGAGACCTGGTAAAAATAAGATTTGAAACAACAGTGTTCTGGGTTAGGAATCCAGGAATATCTTAACTTTACAAACATTCTAAGATGTTTGCTAAACTAAAGATTATGCAGTTTTTAAAATATTAATATATCTTAATAGCACTGTTTGTTTATTTGAAGCAACCTAGGCTATTTACTGTTCTCAGGGAATCCAGGACTTTTTTTGGACATAACCAATCTCCGAAATAGAAAAATGAAACAAAGACATTATTTAGTGTATTAAACAACCAAATATATTAAACCAATACCCGACTGTATTTTCAGTTCTCAATTCCTAAGAAGGAATGGAAAGATATGCTGAAAATTAAGATTCAACATCTTTTAGTCTAAAAAAAGTAAATTATTCTTACCCAAATTTTTCAGAAGGCATAGAGGAAGAATTATTAAAAAGGTCACAGCTACGACCAGAACTCGCCCATCCACATACCAGGCTCTGTAAAACATTTTTGAAAACAGAAGAATAAGATAACTTGTATTCTGGATACTCTCATTCATTTAAAGTAGCTAAATTTAAAATCAGGGATGGAAATCAGCAAAATTTGGCATAATTTTAATCCTCACCCCAACCCTCATGTGTAGGATTTCAATTCATATCTGTGATAAGAGCTATCTAGTTTTTCTACTTCACGCTACTATTTGAAGTAGGGAGAAAAGGGATCCTGAAAGAGAAGATTAAAAGTGTCAGACACAGAAAGTATCCCAACCCACTCTGATCTCTAGACCCACCCACTGCTTGCTTCAGCCAGATTCTTCCAAATAATTACCTGCAATGAAACTTATAATTTCTCTGGATATGATACTCATAAAGTACCTCAATTATCTCCAAATGTTCAGGCCAAGAACCCAATGATTACCGTAATTGTCCATGCCAATAAGATACTTCATTGCATTTAACTCCAAACTCTTTGGGTTTTGTTTACAGTGGGCATTTTTACCCACACTTTCTTCTGGATTGGCCTTCTGGATATCTTGGAAGTATATTTTTCAGGACTCATAAATATGCTGGGAATTCTGGGAGGTTATAGTTTCAAACAATTCCAGAGATTGCATATTGGGAAAGATGGAAATGATCACTTTTTTACTTCTTTCCATTTTTGAAATAATTCCATTAAAAAGTAGGAAAATAGCACCATATATTACCTCCTGGCATTGACCACTTTCTATAAATCCTTCATCCTATCACCAAAATAATCAAGTCAGAAAAAAAAACATAAATTCAACTTACACAAATGTATCATCTTCTCCCATAAGAAACTTTATGGCAGCAGGCAGCTCATTTTTAACTATAAAGAGGTAGCTCAACATAGCTGGAGGAAAGCATGGTAAAAAGAAAACAAGAAAATGTGCCTTAAGCATACAGTGATGTACACTTCTATATAATTTTCAAAGCAAGTCAAGAGAATATTTGCAGTTCTCCAAATAATTTGAAGCAGCCAATGAAGCTTCCCAGTAGGAAATGTTTAAGAAGACCTACTGAACAAATTATTTATTTTTCATGCTTCATTAGACTTCATTTTACCTCCAGTGTTCTGAAGAGATGTAGATCCAAAAACAATAATCTTTCCTGGAGTGCCAAAAACTTGTTCTCCAAGTTTTTCATAAACCATACAGCCTAGTTAAACCAAGGTGAAGAGAGATGGCAATTAATCACAAGGAACAATATCTTTAATAATATAATGTACATTTGTTGCATACTTCGGTATATCATAGTCTATTTTCTTATCTTTTAACTGACAAATGGGATGTAAAGCATTGTTCTCTCCAGTTCTTTGCAAAAAAAAGTCTGAAGCTATTTTTCTTCACTTCTGATAACCTTGAAATGTAGACAACACTTGTGAACCAATAGTGCTGGTCTCTTTCAGTCAGGCTGAACAGTAGGAGAGTGAAAATAATGTTAAATTGCTGTCTTCGTCCAATTATCTGGTCATGAAATAACCTTACTCAAAATTAAATAAAATAAATTGCAAGAATATAAACCACAATTTTCATTCAATGAATCTGTGTGCCTCTGGTGGTGGTTTACAAAAAATATTGTGAGGCTATAGTAATGGGAAACTATATGAAAAAATTAAAATGTTAAAAAATATAAATTACATTGGCATTGCTGGGCTGCATTTTGAATATCCCAATGTGCTGTGATGATGAAATGGTAACACTTTGCAAGTAGGCACTTTCCCCAAAAGCTATGACCATGATTGTGGGAAAGTGCCTATTTGCAAAGTGTTTGTCAGAATCCAATTATAGTTATCAATTATAGAAAACCCCATTTCTGTCTTCTATGGATTCTGTCATACAATGAAGGGAAGGGGGTGAACAAAGGGGCTTTATGGCCCTCACTTCCTTTGGTACACTTCAAAGGAACTGGATGTGTATATCACCAAAAGGACTAACCATAACAATGGGGCTATTATCTTTCATGTAGTTTTCTCTGAAATCTCCATCCAGCCGGCAGTAAGGAAAAGGGGGTGGGAGTGTAATGCCTGAGACTGTCGCTGGAAGAAGGGGGTGATTGGGTGGGGCTACTGGGGAACCCCTTAAAACCTTGAATGGGAGAGCTTGGACCCCAAGTCCTATCTAGAACACCTGCAACCATTTTCTCTTAATAAAGGATGCCTGTTGGAAGAACTATTCCAAGAGTTCTGTCTTCTTAAGATGCAAAGTGGGGTGGGTCCTTACATTAGACAGGACTTGCAAAATTAATCCACCTGGAAGGGAGACCCTTGCTGGGGGATTTTGCAAAAAATTACCATGTCAGACAATGGAGCAAGAAAGGGGGAAAACTCCCTGGAAAGAGAGCAGCTGCCCCGACTGGAATCTTGCCAGATGTCGGGATCCGAGAGGTCAGATTCCTCAGGAGAAGAAGTGGTGGAGACACGGGACCACAAGCCTCGCTGGTCAAAGGGCGTTGGAAAGAAAAGTGAGAGGGGAAAGGAATCAAGAAAGGTGACTCTGAGATGGGGGACCAAGCAACCAGAATGGAAGCAGGAGATGGAAAAATCCCTGCACGCAAGTGAAGAGGGAGAAAGTAGCCACCGTACTCGGACTGGATCCTAGAGAAAACTATTGACCTGATGAAGAGAACTCTCAGCTCCCTAGGAGAGGAGAATCCTGAGCCCTACGGCCGCCCCAGTTCCTGGAGCCGCAAATGGAGAGACACCGAGGGGGAAGTGGAACCTGCAGCCCGGGGACATCTGCTGATCCAGTAGTCCCCACCCCCTGCCAAACCACAGATGGCGATCTGGACAGAAGACACTACCACCAATCACAGAGGAACTGATCCATTCCAAGACGTCCGCCATTGGAGGTGAAATTCAAAGGGGAGCCAACACGCTTCGGGTTTTTCCTAACCCAAGTCCTCAGCTACATGGAGGAATACGGGCAGGACATCCCCAGTGACAAAGCCCGCATCCGGATCGTACAATCTGCCCTGGACGGACTGGCTGCAGATTGGGTGGTGAACTTGCACGACTCCAATGCCCCAGAGCTCAACGACTTCAACCATTTCATGTCCTCTTTGAGAAGGCAATTTGAATACCCCCTGGCTGATCGCAAAGCCCGCGAAAGGATAAAAACGATGAGGCAAGGCAAACACCCGGTGGCTGAATATACACAAGAATTCCGGACCATTGCCAGCAAACTGAACTGGCCAGAAGACATCCTCCTTAGCCATTTCAAAGATGGACTAAATTATGACCTATATGACGCTTGCCTGCCCCAAGGGGACCCACACCAACTTGAGGAATGATACGTCTTGGCAGAGGAAGCAGAGACCGACATATTGAAGAAACACCGCCGAGGAAAACAATGGAGCCGCTCCCCGCCGGAGTTGACACATGAACCAGTGAAACCATTGGCTACAGCCAAAGAAGCAAATGGGGTGTTTCAAGTGCAGAAGAGAAGGGCATCGAGCTGTAGAATGCCGCTCCAAAGCCCCCCAGCACAACCCAGACAGATCCCTGATCAGCAATTCCGGAAAGTCTTCAGCTAAGCCAAAAGAAACTGCCATGAGAATGATGGAAATTGTGGAACCCCCCACCTCTGCTCATCAGGGTGAAAGAACTCCAGCCTATACCGCAGGGCTGGTGGACGCCTCAGATGACAGCTCGGAGGGCGAACCCCTGGTAAGTGAACGCATCGTACCCATCCTCAAGACAAAGACTATATTAATTCCCCCCATGCCCGAAGCTGTGAAGGTGAAAGCCTTAATAGACTCTGGCTGCACCCGCTGCCTTATTAGCCTGACACTAGTGGGGAATCTGGGCATTCCGTCGAGGAGACTGGAACAACCAATCTCCTTTGGCCAGTTATATGGATCCATAACAGGGGCGGTGCTATCTACCCTAGCCACTCTACCAATACACCTCTCTCTGGGCAAACATGAGGAGGACATAACGTTTGTGATGACCCCAGGCATGGAATGCCCAATGATCCTAGGGATGGAATGGATAAAAAAAATGGAACCCCTGGGTAAATTGGAGGATGACAGAAATCAAATTCCCGAAGGGGGACCCTATGGACTTAAAATCCCAAGGGGGGCTACCAGAATCAAGAATAGAAAAAGCATCCGTGGGAGAGGAAAAGGGACTACCAGAAATACCAGAGGAATACAGAGACCTTGCTGAAGTTTTCAGTGAGGAGAGGGCAGATGAGCTCCCCCCCCCACTGACCCACAGACTGTACCATTGAATTCAAGCCTGGGGCAAAACTCCCAAAGCCCAGATTATACTCCATGAGCCCAAAGGAGAAGGAGGAAATGGAAAGATTCATAAAAAAAAAAAAACTAGAGAGAGGTTTCATTGAGCCAGCCAAGCCTAAAGTGGCTGCCCCGGTCCTCTTTAGACAGAAGAAGGATGGCTCTTTACGCTTATGCGTGGATTACAGGGCCCTGAATATAATCAGTGAAAGCAACCTATACCCTCTGCCCCTCATGAAAGACATGCTGTCAGACCTCTCGAAAGGGAATTTTTTTTTCTAAACTAGACCTAAGGGAAGCTTACTATCGCGTGAGAATTAAGGAAGGGGACGAATGGAAGACCGCATTTAACTCCCCCATGGGGTGCTATCAATTCAAAGTCTTGCCATTTGGATTACAAGGGGGCCCTGCAGTCTTTATGTAATTAATCAATGACATTCTAAGGGAGTACCTGTTTAAGGGGGTCCTTGTTTACTTGGATGATATTCTTATCTTCACTGAAACAAAAGAGGAACATGTCAACTTTGTCAGAGCGGTTTTAAAGAAACTGCGAGCCGCCCACCTATATGCCAAACTCTCAAAATGCGAATTCCACCAGGAAAGGATAGACTACCTAGGTTATCGCATATCCCCCCAGGGCATTGAAATGGACCCAGAGAAGGCCAGAGCAGTATTAGATTGGGCACCACCCTGCACAAGAAAGCAATTACAAAGTTTCCTGGGCTTTGCAAACTTTTACCACCAATTCATCCCCTCATTTGCCCAGATAGTGTTGCCCCTCACTAACTTACTAAAAATGAAGGGAGCATCCTCAGTAAAACCTAGCCAGCCACTAACATGGACAATGGAGTGCCAAGCAGCATTTGAGAGACTAAAGAGACTTTTTTCTGCCGAACCAGTACTAAGGCACCCAGACATGGACAAGCCCTTCGTAATACAGGCGGATGCAAGTGATGTGGCAGTGGGGGCTGTTCTATTACAAGAAAACGATGATGGAGTATTGCAACCCTGTGCATATACATCCAAGAAACTCACGGAAATAGAACAGCGCTGGCCCGTATGGGAGAAAGAGGCATACGGGATACGTTGGGCATTACTCACGTGGCGACAGTTCCTGGAAGGCAACAAAATCCCCTTCCAGGTGTGGACTGATCACAAAAATTTGGAAGTCCTGAAAGTGCCCAGGAAACTCAATCCCAGCTTTCCATGACACAAAATCAGCAGGGCATTTTGGATTTGTAAAAATTTTACATTTAATTAAATGGCAATTTTGGTGGCCATCCATAAAAAAGGACATAGAAAGCTACGTAGCCAGCTGCCCAAAATGTGCTACTGCAAAGAGGTTGCAAGGGACATCGCCAGGACTATTACAAATAATGGCAAATCCCTCAGCCCCTGGAGGGAAATAGCCATGGATTTTATAGTGGAATTGCCAGAAAGCAATGGGAATACTGTTGTCTGGATGGTCACGGAGTTGTTTTCCAAACAGGTGCAATTTATCCCTTGCCAAAAGATTCCCACTGCAAAAGCCTTAGGGAAACTTTTCGTCCAGCACATTTACAGATTGCATGGGGCACCCCAATGCATCATCTCTGATAGGGGAGTGCAATTTACATCTGCATTTTGGAAGGAATTTTTATCCCTCTTAGGGACCACTCAGGGACTGACATCTAGCCATCATCCACAAGGGGATGGACAAACAGAACATTGTCATTCAGTACTTGACCAATATTTAAGGTGTTTTATTAATTTTCAGCAAACAAATTGGACGGACCTACTCCCTTTCGCAGAAGTTGCTTACAATAATGCAGTCCACTCCAGCACAGGTTACACTCCTTTTCAAATAGCCACCAGTCAAAGTTTCAACCCCATGCCAGAATTAACCCCACAGGAACCGGCGATCCCATCACTGAAAGAATGGATGGAACAATTACAAAACACCTGGCCAATAGTCAGAAAAGCACTAGATGAAGCTGGCAGGCATACAAAGCACAAGCCAATAAAAAAAGGGTTGAGCCTACACCATTCATTATAGGAGAAATGGTGTACTTATCTACAAAATACCTAAAGTCCCTACAGCCCTGTAAAAAACTTGGACCAAAATATATAGGGCCTTTTCCAATTAAAAGAATCATAAACCCAGTAACAGTAGAATTAGAATTACCCCAAAATCTCAGGCAAATACACCCAACTTTTCATTGCAGCTTACTGAAAAGAGAGCATCAGTCACCTTTACGGCCAAAAATCCCCCCCACCACCACCACCTCCAATCATGGTGGAGGGCGAACAATACTTTGAAATAAAGGAAACCCTTGACTCAAGGAGATATCATGGAGCGATTCAGTACCTAGTTGCCTGGAAACACCTCCCTGCCTCACAAAACAAGTGGGTCCATAAACGTCATGTCAGAGCCCCGAAGCTATTAAAGAAGTTTCACACAGAATATCCTAACAAGCCTGACTAACTCTTATACCTGTTTTGTTTTCTTTCAGGTGGATCTGTCTTATTTTTGAGGGGGCAGGATGTCAGAATCCAATTATATTTCATCTCTACTTATCAATTATAGAAAACCCTATTTCTGCCTTGTATGGATTCTGTCATACGATGAAAGGGAGGGGGTGAACAAAGGGGCTTTATGGCCCTCACTTCCTTCGGTACACTTCAAAGGAACTGGATGTGTATATCACCAAAAGGACTAACCATAACAATGGGGCTATTACCTTTCATGTATTCCTCTCTGAAGTCTCCATCCAGCCGGCAGTAAGGAAAAGGGGGCGGGAGTGTAATGCCTGAGACTGTCGCTGGAAGAAGGGGGTGATTGGGTGGGGCTACTGGGGAACCCCTTAAAACCTTGAATGGGAGAGCTTGGACCCCAAGTCCTGTCTAGAACACCTGCAACCATTTTCTCTTAATAAAGGATGCCTGTTGGAAGAACTATTCCAAGAGTTCTGTCTTCTTAAGATGCAAAGTGCGGTGGGTCCTTACAGTGTTACTGTTTCATTATCACAGCTTATTGGGTTATTCAATAAGATTATAATCTTATTAATATTCAATAATTCAGAAGGTTGGATGAAGACAGTAATTACACACTGTTACAGTTCCTGGATTGATGGAGGGGAAAATAATACATTATTGAACCAAAAGCGCTTTTTCAAAAGACAATTGGACTTTGTTTTTCCTTGAAAATGTTTCACTTGTCATTCAAGAAGCTTCTTCAGTTCTGACTGAATTGTGGAGGATGGAAGGATTTATATTCCTTGCAGTCATCTTGTTGTTAGCACTCTTTCTGAGAGTAATTGAGTTCCACTGGAGGTTTATCTGTGCCCTCAGGGTCACTTGAATAGGGCAAATGGATGTGGAACTGCTGAAAGGACTGTGCTGAAAACAGGAAATTGTTGTTGTGGTATCCCTGTCCCTCTGCTGAGAGAGGGCTGTTCAGTCCTAAATGAGATGTCCTCTTTGACCCATTTTTCAAACTTTTTTTTTTCTTTCAAACTGAAAGAAACGGTCAAAGAGGCATTCTATATTAAGATTGAACAGCGCTCTCTCAACAGATACTACCTGAATGACTGAGAATCTCTCCATAGACATTACTGAACCTCTACCTTGGATATGAGACACACACACACACACACACAGAGAGAGAGATAAGAGATTACTGGTCTGAACATTGGGAGGAGAGGCAGGGTGAGACAAACATTTCTGCTAATGAAAAGACAATTCTTAAGGTCTGTAGAGCCACAGTGATTCTATGGTTTACAACCAATTGGAGCAGAGTCAAGAATAAATAAACTTAGCTCTCACTTATAAGAGGCAAGCAACTCTGAAACTAATTTTAAAGTGCTATTCCAAACTATTTGTATGGAAGTGTCAGTTAAATGGCCTTCACCCTATTGCAAATTTCTTGGAGTTACAGCTGCACTTCAGCAACTATCCCAACATCCTAATCAACTACAAATGACAAGAAGAACAGATATAATCATAATTCCTTTTGTCATAATCCTTGATGCCATCGACAACAAGAATTAGAAATGTTCCTATTGTAGACTTTCTTTCATTCATAGAGAATGATGATGATAGAAATGGAGAACAGCTAAGACACCCATCCTTCTTCTTTTCCATTACAGTACCTTCAGTACCTATAAACAGCAAGATCTTGAAAAGGTATTATATCCTGACCAGATGAAGCACCTCCAACTAAAATATCTTTTTGTTTTTCTATCAGCATAATCAATTACGTGATTGTATTGTATATGTTATATATGTTTGGTAAGATGATCAACTGAACATATAAATTCTATCAAATAAAAAAAGGTGAGTTAAATCTAGAGTATTTTAAGTCCACCGTATTTTTGACTTTTTGAAAAAAATGAGGTATCATTGAAAAGATGACAAATAGATAATTCAGGCAGCAATCAGGTCTTTAGAATGTTTATGGTGCTGGCATGCAATCCTTTTAATTATTATACTGAACTCTTTTTGCTGATAAGCAGGAGCTCATATTATTCAGAGGTGTATTAAGTAGAAAATTGTATCTTTATATTGTATTTAACATAGAGTTGAATGCTAGCATCATTCTGGCTCCATTGTCCCACTAAACAGGATTGAAGTCTGTAAAGGACTGACTTGCAGCAAGATGTTTCCGTTCCTTTCTTACAAATCAAGCCATTTTGCACATACCTTTATCATGATGCTATGTGATAGTGTTCAGTACACACAAATGGAAGAGAAATTGCACTGAATTTACTTCTCACTGACTTGTATGCCTCGTTGTAAGTCATATATTGTCCTGTTTCCTCTAAAACAGGGGTGGGGAACTATGACCCTTTTATGGACATCAGCTCCCAGAATTCCTGAGCCAGCATGTCATAAAGAGGCCATAGTTTCCCACCTCTGCTATAGAATGTCCTCTCCCTCTCCTTGTCTCTCATTATTTTAGCAAAATGGATTAATTCATGTTTCCAATGTTCTCAGGATTACTATTTCATTTCTCACTCTGTTTAGATGATATACCCCTGCATAACTTGCTCTTTTTGTCAACAGTAATTTCAACAATTTGATCAAGTTTTTGAAATTTATTTTCCCTTCACTTTTAAAAATACATTTTCATATACTGGGTTAAATCTCATTATCTTATTACGATCATATTTGAACTGTGGCAGTATATACTTTTTTAGTTTAATAAAACAAAGAAATGGTTCTATTTTTTCTTTGTTTAACAAAGCATATTAATTTATTTTGGAATTAAAGCAAAGAAAGTAGGATGGAAGATTTAGGCTTTTATTTACCATATTCATTATCTCTTTGTTATTCCTTGGTAGTAAAATAATATAAAGTTTTAGGAATTACCTGTTTCCTTTGCACATGCTAACAAGATATTTATTGAATAAATGGAGAGCAGTGTCACTGAAATCAAAAGCAACCTATAGGAAAAAATAAGAAAAACACTTTTTAGCACAATACAAAACTTGAGTAAGTGTGGATGTAAAATAATAATATGAATATGACTTTAATTGAAACCATAACAGCATCCCTTAGGTTAACATAAATTACTTGGAGGATGACAAATTACTTGGCTGCCTTCTCAATAACACAGTGACAAATGACAAATCATATTGTCAAGCCCTCCCGGGCTCGACACACAAGCAGGGGGGGAACCAACCTACTGGCCGAGAGGGAAGAACGTACGACGGGCAGTGTCTCCGCAAGCAACCATGGTTAAGAGGTTAACAATAGTGCGGAGCCCAGCGGTGGTGCGGAGCAAAAGCTGACATGCGCAGAAAGACTATCGCACATGCGCAGATCCATCTCAAAACCCGCGTAGCAGCTGAGTAGCGGTAGAATTACAGTCAGCTGATGGAAGGCGAACCGCGGATTGCGATAATAACACAGGGTGTCCGGCGGAGGACTGTCTCGCAGAATGATGTAAATGCTGATTGGAGGCCAGGAGGGTGGGAACGGGGTTGGTGCAGGTGTAGGGTAATGAGCACGGGTGTGGTGAAGGTGTGGTCCGTAATAACCTAGGGCGGGGTGCAAGTGTAAATGTCCTTAAATAACGCTGGGTGGCAGTTGCTCCCAGCGCAAACTTTGTATAGCACAGAGCTAGTGCTAAGCTTGTCTGTGTTAGCCGTCACTGCATTCTCTAAAGTAAACCGGAGCTGTTTCAACACAAGAATCTCGTCAGCGTGTTCTTCGTGCGAAATCCGGTAGGGAGGCTGACAGAAAAGTTTGCGCTCACCTTTTCCATATATTCATCTGTTTACTTTCGTGTTCCCTTGTCCCTTTTCGTGGGTTAAGCGAAATTTACCAGGGATAAAGGGGAATCCTGCAATTGTCCCAGGTTGAATTCCTTGGCAGGGTGCGGGTAATAAGTTTGCAAGAAGATGGCAGAAGGGGTGCAGGGGGATATCCCTGGTGACTCCGATTCCGAACCAGTACAGGAGAAAGAGGAAGGACTGGAGGTTCCTAGTGCTGAGCAGGTGGTGGTACGACCCAAGATGAAGGAAGTAGGTCTACCCAAACCTCCCATTGAGGCATTAGGACCCCAAGAGCCAGCGTCAGGAGCCCCTACCCCGGCTGGGGAATGGTGGCAAAGTCCTGTAGTAACCGGTATGCCAGAAGGAGCTGGAGCCGGACCTTCAGAAGACGCTCGGATGAGAAGGTGGCGGGAGCGACGACCGACGGATGAGGAGGAGGAGGACTGGAGTTATGCCACGGCTCCTGGTCAGACTGTGATGGATCTCTTAAGGGAGCAATTTGGAGAGGGAGGATATCAGGATGCCCCTTCATGGCAGAGATGGATCCCTGGTCCGGAGGCGACATCATGGTCGCAAAAAGGTTCCTCTTCCATTCATACAACATCGAGTCGCTTTAGGTTAGCCAGTCCAAAATTAAAACCTGAAGCCACACACAGTGATTTACATCAAGCCAAAGTGGGGGCACAAAGTAGTAGTCGCACTGAAGATAGATCACAGGGAGGGACCAGTGGAGCCTCGACTGTTCCATCTAGAGGTTTGAGATCAGCCCCAAGGGGTCCTCCCGCAGAAGGGCTACCTACATCTAGAGCTGGAGCACCAACAGGTCCCTCGTATACAATGGGTTGGGGTCCCGGACCCTGGGGCCAAGGGGTTGGTTGGGGTCCTCCACCCATGAACCTTTGACGGAAACCCCGATCGATTGGCATTTTTTTTGAGTCAGGCAATTGGGCATATGGATAGGTGTGGCCACCTTTACCCGTCTCAATGGGCCATGGTAGGGGCAATAACAGCAGCCTTACAGGGAGAGGCTTTAGAGTGGGTAGCCGACCTATATACTGACCATGCCCGGGAATTAGCCAACGTTGGTGCGTTTCTAGAAGCTCTTTGAAATCGGTTTGAGGATCTATTCAGGATCCGGAGGGCGGAAGGAGAGGTTCTCAGGATCAAGCAACGGGGCCGGCCAGTGGCAGAGTATGTTAGGGAGTTTCGTAGAGTAGCCGGTAAGTTACGGAATTGGCCTGAGAGGTTATTAATACATCATTTCCAGGCAGGTCTAGACAGGGAGTTAAGGCAAGCATGTGTGTTCCGGGGTATCCCTGGAAGATTGCAAGAGTGGTTTAGACTAGTTACGGACTTAGATACGGGGTTGCAAGAATTCCGGTCTAAGAATGATAACCCATTGGGGACTTGTAGACCACTAGGCCAGGCTCGACCAATGGGCTCAGTATCTGGAACACTCGATAATTCATCTCGTGCAACGTTCCGCTGTTTCCGGTACAACTTGCCGGGCCATCGTGCCGCAGAATGCAAAGAACCATTCCCTATAGGAGGGATAGACGGGCCGGGGAAGAAATTGCCTGGAAAGATCCCTGAAAGATCGAGGGCAGCACAACAACGTGTCGATAACCCGAAACCACGAAGGGAGAGAGTAGAGGTCGATGAAGGAATTGGTGGAATGGAACCCCCACTAACCATATATCAGGAGGATGTAAAGATACCAGAAGATCAAGCTGCAACCAACTTATTATTTATGAAACAAAATACATTTTGTAATGCTAATAAGCCGGGGAGATGGTTGGCTTATCAATTAAGAAAGAAACAGAGACAGAGAATAATAGAGAAAATAAATTACAAGGGTAAACTAGTTTCTCAGAAGGAATTAATTAAAAAATCTTTTTTGGATTATTATCAAAACTTATATAAATCTACTAATGTACAATTGTTAGATATAAATAAATATTTAGCTGAGGCAAGTTTTCCTAAACTGACTGAGGATCAGAAATATGAAATTAATGGCTTAATTACTAAGGAGGAAATTGCCTCAGCAATTCAACAATTGAAATTAGGGAAAGCACCGGGTACGGATGGGTTAACAGCTGTTTATTATAAAGCTTTAATGGAGGAGATGATCCAACCATTAAATGATCTTTTTAATGGTATCTTACAGGGCTTAGAGATTCCTCCTTCATGGCGTAGTGCCTTTATATCATTGATTCCAAAGGAGGATCAAGATCTTACTTTACCAAAAAATTATAGGCCTATATCTCTTTTAAACGTGGATTATAAGATATTTGTAAAAATTTTGGTAAATAGGCTTATGAGGGTGGTGCATCATCTTGTGCATAAAGATCAATCAGGGTTTATAACAGGAAGGTATATGAAAAACAATGTTAGACAAATTATTAATCTATTAGAATACTTAGATAAGAACAACCAAGTTCCTGCAGGGCTCATATTTTTAGATGCTGAAAAAGCATTTGATCAATTGAATTGGCATTTTATGCTAAGAGTAATGGAAGAAATGAATTTTGGTGAAAACATATTACAAGCCCTTAAGGTAATATATCAAAAACAAACAGCACAACTTATTGTTAATGGAGGTCTTTCGGAGGTTTTCACAATAGAGAAAGGTACTAGACAGGGGTGTCCTTTATCGCCATTGTTGTTTGTTTTAACATTGGAAATATTATTGATCAAAATTCGAGAGTCTCAGGAAATTAAAGGAATATATGTTAATAAAAAAGAATATAAGTTAAGAGCTTTTGCGGATGACTTGGTTGTTACTTTGTCGCAACCTGATTATTCTGTAGTAAACTTATTACAGTTGATTCATCATTATGGCTTGGTCTCGGGTTTTAAGATTAATGTAAATAAGACCAAAATTTTACCTAAAAATATGTCTAGTCAGGAGAAGCAGATTTTGACTAACCTGACGGGTTTTGAGATTGTTAATAAGGTAAAATATTTGGGGGTGATGTTGTCTGTTTCTAATGTAAAATTATTTAAAAATAATTATGAAAGGTTGTGGGTCAGGGTACAGAAGGACTTGAAGAACTGGGAAAAGTTGCAATTATCCCTCATGGGAAGAATTGCAGTGATAAAAATGAATATTTTACCCAAGTTTCTTTTTCTGTTTCAAATGTTACCAATTTTGAAAAATGAGATTAATTTAAATGAGTGGCAGAAGGGTCTTAATAAATTTATCTGGGCAGGGAAAAAGCCAAGGGTTAAGTTTAAAATTATGCAAGACTTCCGTGAGAGGGGTGGACTTAAGGTACCAAATTTGAAATTATATTATGATGCGGTGGTTTTAACACTAATCAGTGATTGGGTAAATTTGACAAATTCTGAGATACTTTATCTAGAGGGATGGGATTTACTTTATGGGTGGCATGCCTATTTAATATTCAATAAAAAATGGATTGGGCTTTTAAATCTCATATCTTAAGAATTTCTTTACTTAGGATTTGGAGAAAATATTATAAAAGTGATTTCAAAGTACCATTATGGGCTATACCTTGGCATGCGATAGAAGCAATAAAAAGAGGGGTTAAAATGGATATGGTGTCTTATAGACAGTTACTTAAATGGGATGGACAAAACTGGCAATTAAAATCACGGGAAGAGTTAGCACAAGAAAACCTTATTTATTCTTGGTTCCAATATAGGCAATTATTAGACAGATGGAAGATGGATTGTAAGGTGGGTTTTCTTAGAGAAGATGAAAATCTTATCAAGCAAGTGAAGGATTCAAGACAAACCCACATTAAGAGAATTTATGCGGTTTTAGTTGAATTGGATTCAGAAACGGAACTAATTAAAGATTGTATGATAAGATGGGCGCAGAATTTTGGTGAGCCAGTCTCATTGGACACCTGGGAAAATATTTGGGTGAGAAATGTCAAATTTACACAAGCACAGAACTTAAGGGAGAATTTTTATAAAATGTTTTATAGATGGCACCTTGATCCACAAAAAATGTCTTATATGTACCCTGACGTGCAACCCAAATGTTGGAGATGTGGTTATAAGGAGGCTTCCTATTATCATATTTGGTGGTCATGCAGAGAGATAAAAGCATTTTGGATCAAAATATGGTGGAATATCCAGAGAATTTTTAGAAGGAGGGTAAAATTTACTCCGCAATTATTTTTGTTAGGTATTGT